CACATTGAGAATTTAGCAGAGGATGCGCGTCGGCGGCATCACACTCCACTTGCTACCGACGTCGCACACACCCACCCCTCCTCGTCCGTCCCCATCGACGCCCCCCAGCTGCAGCCCGTCACATCCCAGCTCCTCCCATAATAAAAATGTGCCGAGTGGCCTTTGAATGGGCTCCTTACACTCGGGATTTTGGGTTATCATTGTCCCATTCTCTTTTCCGTGGCTCGTGGCCCGGTCGCTCATCCCATCACTCCCCTTTCCCTACTCCTGTAAATACCCGCCGACTTCTTTTCCCTGGGTCAGCCCCCTTCCCCTTCCCTTCTCTCATTCGGTCCTCTTTCATCCTCGTCATAACCAACTCGCGCTGCCGGCTAGCGGTCTGACAGGCTTTTTCCCGCTCTGCAGTCCCCGGCCATCCCCTCTGTCTCTGAACCGCCCAGCATTGCCACCAAAACTTGTGCGTACCACCTCAGCATACCCTTGCACAAACCCCTACACATCCAGGCCTGCACTCCATGTCCAGTCCCTTCCACCCCCGTCCCCCAGGCTCCAGGCTCCAGGGAGTGCACTCGTTCTGCTTGGACACATTCTGCAGGGACTAACTCGTGACAGCACCACATCAACCCCTCCCCTAGACGCTGCACAAGCCATCTGCAGTGTGCAGACAAGCCCAGGCACCCGCGCTGTCCCCCGTACAGTCAACCACGCCCGTCTATCTGCCCCCCCCCTTGCCCATAGGGACTTGAGGCTCAGGGACTGGCACGGATTCCCGAACCGACCATTTGGATATTTTGGCGCTACCAAAACCGTCCTGACCTGCTGTCGACCCAGGAACGTGGCTCAACAGACACTGTGGGCAAGACGACATTCAACCACGCAATTCCCCTAGTTCCACAAAGGGGCCTGACAGCCACTACTCCTGCCACAACGAGCCTTTCCACCAGGCGCACCGCTTGCACCGTGGCCGTTAATCGTCAACGACGCCGTCGAATTCTGTTCACTTTGAAGGGTATGTATGGGCTACACGCCACACCAGTCTCCGAGTTCATCCCCTGTTGTGCATGAACGAATTTTACGACCGAATCTCCGCTAGCACCGAGACGGGCCTCGCGAAAGGTGCACTGTCCACAGCGCTCACACCATTCCTTTGTTGCTTGTATCTCATCTGCCCTCTCGCCCGATTCGACTCTGGGAGAGGAACGGCGATTGGTGCATCCAATCTCCGCTACTCACACCGGGCTCAGACTTGAGTCGCGTCAGTCGCGGGTGCATGACCTTCGTGCAATCTATTTACTTGTCTGTGGACATGAACCTTTCGCTAACTTGGGTCTAGAGTGATATCGTGCTTTCAAAGCAAGAAGCAGTAGCGAAGCGC